TCTCACCTTTTAATAATGGGGACAGGAACTTTGTGACTTTAAACAATGACTAATTTGTTCCCATGAGAGCAAAAAAACACTCAAGTGACAATGAAAATATAAGCATTCTAGAAAACAAATGCTACAACATATTCATGAAAATGAGCATTCATATCAAATGAGAGAATATCAAAGACTATTGCTCTTTCAAAGAACTTTTTCCCTTGCAGAACTCAGCAGCTGCTCATTTACTTTAACAGACTCTCTAACAACAGCTAAGAATTTGCCCCTAGAATTACTACTATAAAAGAGTAAATTTGCAAGTGCAGCTGAGTTTCACTTCTGTTCTGCCTATTCTGGAGCATTGCTATGCACCATGAATTGGGGGTGATGCTTAGCTTGGAAATTATTTTGTTGTTCATATACTTTGGATATGCTGCCTAGGTACCTTTGACACCAAGACTGTCTCAATGTATAGAGCTGAATTAGATCCATTTTCTATCACTTAATATAGACTTTAAATTTGCCCATGGAACGTGTCCACACTAGACTGAGAAGAAGCCTCTTGGCAATACTGAATTATCATACTGAATTGCTTCCATCCATTTGCTGGGGCTGCCAAATTGAAATGATGCATGTCACGGCAACCCCACACTGAAAAGTAAAAGACAGCCTCTTAAATGTTCCATTTATAAAGCTTTTTATTCACAGTCAGATTTAGTATCCCCTCTGAAATATATCACTTTACAAATTGATACCTTGCCATTACAAGATTTCCACACCATATTCACTCAGCTTAGTAGTAAAAACAAGCTTTTGCTCTTTTCCCTTTGGTACAGCTGATGAAAACTGAGCAGTTCAAGGTCTGCTTCTCAGATCACCAGCACTCCATAGATCCAGTATTCCATAGATCCATAATCTTCTCCTGCAGGGAAAGTTAAAAGTCAGCAAAAAGGTAAACTGTTAGTTCTATCAGTGAGACATTACAAGTGCATCATATTGGAAAGCAGAAACTGAAGAAAAAAAAATAACCAACCACTAATGCTAAGGATGCTAAGAGTGCTCTGCCAAACAAAAGCATCCTTGTGGACTTCTTTAAACTTTCTGCAATAAATATCACTCAAAGCAAATTAAGACCAAAAAATTATAGTCACACTGCAGAACTTAAATGCATTTTTTTCCTAATATGTGTCATGTGGGATTCTAAAATGACAGATTGTATTTACTTTTTGTATTATTTCCCCATAACTGCTGTAGCCTAACACCTCTTTTTTTTAATCACTGGCAAGTGAATGTCTAACTAAGAAACATAAATAATAACATAAACTAATAATGCCCTGTTTTAGCATCTTTACATGTCAGTTTATGACAAAGGAATAACCTGCCCTGTCCACATTTGGGATGCAACCAGTTTCTTCGGTTTAAAGTTTGTCAGAATTTCCCTTTTGGAGAAGTAGAACGTTTCTGTGAAGCTTCATGATAATTCCTCCAGTTGCATTCTGATTTGCATGCCACTGTGTAGCTGAAGTTCTTTCCAACTTCTGAATTGCATCAAAAATTTTGCTGTAGTTTCCTTACACTTCAGCTCCCTAAAGCAGCTCTACATTACTAGCCAGCCACGTCTGATGAAAGAAGAAATTACATTCTGACCAAGCTCTTTCATTTTTTATGGAAAGCTTGGCACGTATGCCAGCCAGCTTATAGCAATGCTAAACAGGGGAATTTTTTTTTCCTAGGTATAAGGGTTTGGGGTTTTTTATGTTGCTTGCAATAGAGGAGAATCTGCATGAATTGAGTCAAAAGTTCAGTGAGACCTTGCCAGAAGGAACCCTATGCCACAAATGCCACTTACACCAATATAACTCCACCTGTGCTTCCAGTTACAGACTGGATTTTGCTGTTCATGACCTCCAAAAGCCTTCCTGTGGCCAATATCCAGTAGAAGCCTTGATCTAGGTCTCTTCTAGGGCTGCAGAACCAGGTCTTCATCAATTGCTGAGTATGTCATTTACTATGAAAAACATCCTTGTAAAGGATTTTCCTTTACAATTGTCATGGTCTCAGCCCTGCAGTTAAAAAACGAATTTCAGTCTTAAACCCAAGAAAATTCTGAATTCTGAGAGAATTTTGTTTGTTCAGCTTTTATCATTCCAGATAAATAAGTTTGAGGGGATTTTCAATAAAACCGCCACACTAATAGTTTTTTGACAAAGCTTCATGCTAGCATTGATTTTCAAGGCCAGGAAAAAACAGGATGACTTAATAAAACATCCACTCCTAGTGATGCAGTTCTCCAGAAATAAAAATACTGAAGGAGTAAAAATGAGCACCATTGATATGTTGACTTCCTAAGTCACGGCTAGTATTTATAAGGGCGGGAATTTAAGTCCTAGTAAAATTCTTCCTTTGTTTACAGCCACAGTAAACTCTCTGTCAGAGAGATGTTTTCTAGGAGTAGATCTGCAGAAGCTTTACACAGCTGGGAGAACACCTAGTTTCTCACATCAAAGATACACATTTTGTTACAGTAAAAAATCTCTTTATATGGCTAGGACAGTTAATGCCAAATTGCTATTTTTATGCAGTTATTTGCCACCAATACTAGTGGGATTTAAAGTCTTGAGTTGCATTTTCATTTCTCTTCTGAAGTGTTTTTTCTTGTAAGCTTGGAAAATTCCCCATCCAACCTCATATCAGATTCTAGTCACAGCTGATAACTTCACATGCTCTTGACAACCTCATCAGTTCCTTGGTACAAAGACTAGAGAGCAAGAAAAGTTCCAAGAACAGGTTACCCATTAAATGCCTGTATCAAAACAAAATCTTTAACCAAATAATGACTTCGGTGCTGTAAATAACACTTAGAATTCACGATCTTGTATTTCAAGCCTCTTTCTAATAGGGCTGTTAGTGAATAACAAGCACATGGTGACAATTTTTAGTTTGTGGGTGTTTAGGTTGTTTTGTGGCAGAAAAGCAAAGCCACAAATCCAGGCTATGAACAGCCACACTGAATGATGCGAGTCTTAAAAAAAACAAAAAAGTGTACAAAATTGCTTTTGTTATATCTACTTAAACTGCCCTATTACAAATGTCAAATACCTGTATATAATTAATTATTCCAGATGGACTTCCACCTCAGTAAGTCTTAGCTAATAGCTTTGCATTATTCTTGTTTAAACATTTACCAGTGAAACCTGTGTACTTTACCGGACAATGAATTATTATCCTTTTCAGAAATTATCCTTTTAAAACAAAAGCTGTAATTGAAGCTTAAGAGAAAAATCATGTAATGGAAATGCCCTTCAATCCCCTTTTAATTAACAGCTCTGTGCGTAAATACTGAGCTACTCATTTCCTCAAGACAATGCCTCTCGAAGCAGAGGATGTTATCTCCCAGAAAATTTCTATATTAAAGTGCTCTGGGGTTTGTGCCACTTTAGGCCACTTCTATCCTACTGTTTTCCCCCTTAGTCCAAAGAACACTTGGCTTTCCTTCTATTTTTTTTTTTAAATTGATGGGTTTGAGATTAGCGTTTTGAACCTCATGCTTTGCACATGCAGACCTCTACTTTTACAGCAAGCCCAGAAGTCTATTTATAATAGAAGATTATAAAGATAATAAATAAAAAAAACAGATATTTATAATAGAAGTCTATTTATAATAGTCGAAGGCTGCCATTTGCAGTTTGAAAGGGGTACAAGACAGGACTAACAGACTTCCAAATAAACTCTGTCCCAACCTACTGACCACACCAAGAGAAGAATTGTTTTACCCAAGTGTGCCATCTTTGGTGAAGAACACAGTTTGGGCCTTTTGCATTTTTAACCTTAATTGCACAAAAAAAAAAAAAAAAGAGACTCCCAAGTAGAGCAGCTTTTTTGTTTGGCATATCCATGACATTAACCTGGAGAAATAATGCATTCTCATTTTAATTTTCCACTGGTAAATGTTTATGGGCTTTTGACATATACTCACTTAAGAAGTCCCGTGGATTTGAGGCAGCAAGGTTATGTACCTACATCAAAATATATACAATTCAGTTCTCTTGTTAGCTGTATTGAAGGAATTGCTATTTATTCAGAGTTTATCATAAACAGGAACATGTAAATTCTGGAGACACACTATGTGTTTAATAAACTTGCCAATGAACTTCTACTTTCAAATATACATTTTTAGATAATCAGGGAGAGAAGAACCTTCATTTTAGTACCCAGTTCAACTTAGTCCACATTCTGCACTGCACAGCTGCAGTACAATGCTGTGAGGACAGTAACCATCCACTGCACATCATCCAGCTTGCAGCTATACTGGATTCTTTGTTCTTATCATTTAGTCTTTAGCATTTCCAAACCACTTTTGTGGACTGCTACCCAAACTGCATTTTTGTGAACTAAACTGTTTTATTTTTCCATCATAAGGGTACTGCTAATTGTCAAGCAGCTTTTAGGCAGATAATTGAGCTTTGCATTGCAGTGTATTGAGAACTAAACCCACCTATCACACCTCCTTTCCTAAAGGGCTAAGCTTCACACTTTGAGGAAAAATACAGTGTTTGCAAGAAGGAGCAGTGGTTTTTACTGCACCAGAGGACAGTTTCCTTGATAAAGATTTGAGAAACACCAATGGATGACCACACTCCTACCACCTCAGAGCACATTTCTCAGAGCATCAGCAGTAAGGGATGAGCACTGCGGCCAAAATTCCAACCAAGTTCCTGCATGTGCTGTTTCCTAATAGCTGTCCCCAGCCTGCTCCTTTTTTTGGACCCTACAAACTGCCCTTAGGGGATATCTAATTTTTCCATTGACTAGACATGGGGGCTTGGAGTGGAATCCAGGCTGTTTGCTTGTGGCCCCTGAAGCTCTGTTTTCTCAGAGGGAACAGAAGTAAGGGAATATGGCATAAGTTCAAGTTCAGAAGCTGAAAAGGAAACAGTTTAACACAGTGAATAAACCTTACAAAACTCTACAAACACAGCATTTCACACAATGCTCTTTCATAAACACCACAGACAGGATAGCATTGTTTGAAACATTTTAATATTCAGGAGATTAAGGACATATAAAAAAGTGTCAATAAATCATTCAGTAGTAAAAAAAAAAAATGTAAATCACAGGTATTATAAGCAAAACATCACTAGTATTTATTACCAGCAAGTGTATGTCAGGTCTTTATCATTTGGGTAATGAGATGTCACTCAAACATGCATCCAATGGCACTTTTAGATACACATTCAACGCAATTGCCTCAGTGACAAGTGTTCTGGACAAAACACAGACCTGTAAAATTCTTAAGTATAACTTAATCTGTTATACAGCACCTCCGTGAGGTGCATGCAGTATGCAAAGCAATTAAAAATAAGTACTAGGTGTCTCTAATTTATATAAAACCAAGATTTAGTCCTTCTTTCTCTTTTTTCCTTTAGCAGGAGTTTTGGGACTATGTTCATTTTCTGCATTTGGTTCCCAAAGTGCATTTTTTACAAATCTAGAAGCAGCTCCTTTATCGAGTCTGGATGCCTTTTTCTTGTCTGTTATTTCTTTGACCTTGTTCATGTATGTTCTTATTCTCTCCTAGGGAGGAAAAAAAAAGAAGAAGGAAGGAAAAGTATATTTCAAACCATTCTTCCAAGACTGCAGCTAAAATGAATTAATGCGTAAAAGTTCTCCACACTGTACACTTCTATAACACCTAGAAGAATAGTATCATTTAAATAAATATACCAGGCTCTTTGCAAACTTGAGATATCCCCTTTAGCAAACTGTCCATCACAGGTACCTACCATACCATCTGCATGACATCCACTGTAACAGGAACACAGTGTCCTACAGACATGAAGACTCTGCATCTAATCTACACTGAAATGAGAACTGTTCTTGCAAGCAACGTTAGAAAATAAATTACTGAACTCAGTTTGGACGACATAAAGATGGCAAAATAATATTTAGATATGACAGATTTATAGATGAAATATACTGCCTACCGTCTACAAAAAAAAAAAAAACAACATTCACCATGTCCAAGCAAAGTCAGAAAGATGTTACAAGCATTACACACACAACCACGCAGAAGTCTAGGGCTTAAGATCCTGAAATGGTCAAGGGGACTTACCAATGAACTTATATAAGGCAGCCTGAAGAACTTCCAGCTGTACCAGAAGCTTCTTTTATGACCATAAATAACAGAAACAGCCTGTTTCCACTGCCATTCCATAAATCAAGGGGATACTTTCTTGCCATCTTTGCCCACCACAGTCATTTGGTGTCTATGTGGAGTTTTTTTGAACAACACATGGCTTGGACTCAGCCCCACCCAAGTATACCCTCCCAGTTTAACAATCTCATTTCTGTGCCTACTCATCCTCATCTACTTCCGAAATAAATAAAGAAAATTAAAGAAAATTAACCCCTCTAAGATGGAAATCCCCCTCTGTTAAGTGCCTGCTTCTCTTCACTGAGTAGAGAGGACACTTACAGTAACTCAGTAAAATATTTAAGTTTGGTTGACTTTTGATTTCATGTCCACATATTTAGCCTAATATAGCCTTCAAGTATAGGGCCTTTAGGTGTTAATGTAATACAAACAACAGTAACATATATCTACACAGATATGTAGCCCTTTACCTGATACCTGATTTATAAATGTGGATTAACAGAACATTTATGGCTACTGCTAAAATAAATGTTGATCTGTAACCCACACATTTCTCACACAGCCACCGCCACCTCTTTGGATCTGGAACAAAAGCTACAAGACCTACACTACAGAATCTGATTTTCAAGTGTTCAGTGACCATTATAAGCAACTGTCAAAAACTTGGCCTCCCTGTCTGTAGCAAAAACACAGCTTTAATGAGGAGAGCTTTACAAGGTCTGAAATCATGATCGACTGTAATATTTCTTTGGTGGCTGAGATGGCTAATGAGAACAGATGGCAAACCTGCATGTATCAACATGGGAAAAAGGAGCTGAAAAAATGTCAGTGTGACAAAAGAAATGAATTCTGATAGCCTGAATGTGAGTTTTATTAATACAGTTTGAATTCCTGTATGTACACAAGGAGAGCAATTCTAAAAACAAAAGAATCCTGACAGAACACTCTTTTTTAATTCCCTTTCCACATGAATAAGAACATCACAATGCTCTTGGAAGGAAGGAATGTGCATTCATTCACCTTGAGGCTTGCAAAAAGAAAAGAGAGCTGGATAAGAATCTAGGCTGTGATAATTCACTCATTCTTTGGAGTTAAAAAAGACTGGCAGTTGTGAAGTAAAATACCAGCATAAAATATCCACAGCAGAGAGAGATAAAATTTTTTAGTATCATTAAATTAACAAAATATTCAGACACTATATAACAGGAGGAACAAGAAACTGACTGAAAGCTCATGAAATATTAACTGATGTATTTTTTTTTAAGATGATACAGTCTAGACTACTGAAAACCTCACAAAATTAAAAATAGAAATATTCTTGTTATTCAGGCTGGCTTTCCACATTTTGCAGCCCTATCTCCCATTCCACTGGTTATGTAAGGATTACATTTAAGGTGAGTATTTCACGATGGCCTGGATTTAATATTTCCATTTACACAGGAATTAAAATGGGTAGCGAGAAGTTTTGATTTCTATTTTTTCTTCAGGCTAAAATGATTTGATATTTTAAGTCAGCAGAATTTTCGAGATAGCCGGCCTTCTACACCGTAGTCATGCATCTAAATGGAACACAAAGACAAACCTAAAAGATTTATTATACGTTGTAAATATGTCACTAATGCAGAGTTACTGGACAATACACATACAACTGGTGCCAAAAAAGCTTTTAGCTTTGTTGCTGAACTGGATTCTTTACTGCTGAGAAAATGAATTAATGGAGGACTTGGAAGGGGGGGGGGGGCTCTTTCCCGTCTCCGTCAGTAAATCAACCACACTCTACTTTTAGAGTCATACAAAAGTAAGAACAGGCAGCCTCAGAGATTAACATGATTCCAAGTATTTATAAGAAAAAAATGCCATACTGGAAGTTATAAATTATTATCAGACATGTAACATTTTTTCCATTTAACAGATACAAGTGAAAAGCTGCTCTGTTCAGAACCCAGTTCTTAAACAAAGGTGGAAAAAAAGACAAGATAAGATGATATCATTCATCATCTTGTTTTTTTCTCATTTCAGCAGACCCTACAACTTTACTTTAAACAGTACTGTTTGGAACTAAAAATATTACTTTCTTAATTTAGAGAGCCCAGCAGGGCACATAAATAGTTATATAACACCACGTAGCATATGTATGCTATTATAGCAACATATCAATATTAAATGTAGATATAAACATTTCTTAACTTCTATATGGGCTAAATGTCCTGAGCAAGATGCATGCAGTGTAAAGAACTTACCAGTTCTTGTTTCACTGGATGTTCCTTTGGATTGATTCCTTGAGTAGCCAAGTATACTACAAGAAAAAAACATGATTTTTTTGAAACTGAAGTCTGTCATGACTGAGGGCCCAGTCAAGCAGTCACATAGGAAAACTGCAGTTTCCACATAAAATCATTACTAAGAATTGAAGTTAACGATGTTGTTAAGTATCTGGCAAACTATTATCATCAAATGTTGCAGCTAAAAACCCCCTGAACAACTAACATGACTAAACTTTCTGCCCTTAAAAGGACAGAAAAGGTTGCCACTAAAAAAAACAGAAACATCTTCATGCATGTACAAAGTCAGCTTTTCTAAATATAGATTTTTGATTTGGAGTTTCAACATCATTTACCTTACGGATGGCAATAATGTGGGTCCACAGGGTAACCACAAGTTTTTAATTATTTGGCTAAAACATGATTATTTAATGTTTGCAGCTGTCTAAGTGTTCAGATAGCAATCATAAATACCAGTCTTTCCTCCTACCACATACTTACCCCAGAACATGGAATTCAACGTGTACACCGAAACCAAATCCAGCTTTGCTTGCTCAAGAGGATCTAACTAGAATGAAAAAAAAAAAAAAAGACCACCACATTTGCACATTTATAAGTAAGGTATGCACAGATTTTTATACTTGTGAATGTATTAGTCAAAAAATACACACAGAAGGAGCACATTTTTGCACAAGTTCCCTGACACCATGTTTACGCCTATTTCCATGCCACCACAGAACCATCCTCTCCTCTCCAAGTATTCTGTAATTTTCCCAGTCTGATTTTAAATGTCACAGTCCCACACAACCAAAAGAAAAAAAATCTCTTGGCATGTAGCTCTTGGACTACTATTCCCATAGTCAGAAATAAGTCCCTGGTTTTCCACTATAATTTAATTAAAAATAGCTGTTGCTATCAATGGAAGGGAAAAAAAAAAAAGTCTTAAGATTGCTGAAAAACTCAAATGTGAATATACAATGAATGAATGTTAGCACTATATTGTGTGTTCAGTGCATGTTGGAATATTTAGGGATGTAAAGCAAAGGAAGAATAAAGGTAATGAGGGTTTTTTTTTTTCCCCTTGACTGTCAAAGTCAATTTATTATTTCAGTCCTACAGGATTTCCAGAAACTCTGATAACATCATTGTACAGCTCACTAGTTCTAACATGGATACTGTCAAAAGATCTCTGTTCTCAAGACTGTTTTCTTCATAATTTATTTGTGTAAGAAATCCTCTTAGGATAAAGAAGCTCCCTCATGGGCTGGCTTTTTCTTGCCCTACAGAAAGAAATTACATGTTAGGCTTTAAATGTTAAAAGATAAGAGAGGCTTGTATGAAGTTCTCAGGCAGTACCTTTATGCCCCGATAAAAAGCCACATTTTAGAGACTTATGCTTATAACATACCTAGAGGAGACAGCTCAGGCTCTGCAAGTCTAGACTTCCAGAATCAGATCAATCCTCACTGCTGTCAGGTCACCTTTATATCCCCCCGGGTACACAAAGTTCCATTAAAGTTTGTTGCAAGGAAGTCTGAGACAAAAACCTGAGTGCCCTCTCCATTATCAAAGAGCACTCACATGCACTTCAAGGAAGGTCAGGAATAAGCCAGAATGTCCTCTACCTAAATGACTCACTGGTAAGATCATCACTTACTAGCATGTGTTTCAGTGTTTAATTTGTAAGACTATTTGGATATCTTAGATATGTAAGAGTTTCAAATACTATCAAGGGTAGGAAGTGTCATATTTGTTACTGAAAACCTAACAGACCCTTTTATTTCAGTTCAGGTTCCCAAGTATTCCTGTATTAACAAGGAAAAGGTTTTCAAAAGGAAGATTATTTACCTTTTGCAGAAGCTCACTCCTGGAAACGGACATCATTGTCTTCAGCATCTCATCTACAGAACCAAGAGATTTTTCAAATGCTGCGAGATAATCATGAATTTCAGTGGGGTATTCTTCTGAACTATTATCATCCTCTGACATTTCCATCTGAAAAGAGGAAACAAAACTAATAATCCTTTTCATTAGGCACCTACCGAGTCAAAAGACTGTATTTTACAATACAAAGCATTAGCATTTATTCATTAAACATTATAAGAAATGCCTACTTGTGAAGAGTTCTAGCAAGTTATGTCAACAGCGACACAGTTAAAAGGTCCTGTAATTTCAGGGATATCTCCTGACTGCTCTGCAAAATGGCATGAAGGAGCACTACAAATGACATGACTGTAGTACCTATTCTTGCAATGGTCCCAAAACAGCATGTAGCTTTTATGGCCTGTGATAGAAAGGAATTAGTTGCTTGTTTAAAAGAAGTGCTCTATAAATCACACTACATAAAGAGCTACACCAAGCAACAGGCAGGACACCAGAAAAAAAAAAAAAAAAACAAAAAAAAACAACCAAACAGGGATATGGCTTCAGCCTGTCTTAGGAACAGACATTACTTCAGCTTTACAGTGGTTATTCAGCACCAGTTATGTCAGGGTCAGTTACATCTTCCAATGCTAAATTTAGCAGTCGGTCAAAAAAAATTCTTCTTGTGAACCCTGTATCCAGTTTTCTGAATTCTCTATGGGGTATTATAATCTGCAACATAACTCTACCCATAACAGAGTTGAGCTGATTCTGGGATTTCAGAATACTCTGGATATCTTGTAGACACATCAGTGCACAGCAACTGGGAAATAAGATGTGAAAAATCTCAAAGTAGCCCTTTTTTGATCCCAGCAGTTATAGTACCATGGCACTGGTTACTGCCAAGCCACCTGCTGGCTTATTCTTTAATTCCTCTCAAATCATAAATCACCTATTATCTTTGGGATTTAATGTTACTTAGGGCTACGTTATTTTCTACAACTTCTGTGATTGAGCAACAACTTTTGGAATGTTCTAAGGAAAGAAGAGAAGAAATATGCAAGTTTCCTGCCCCTTTGGTGAGCTGCATCAAGAATAGTGGGAGCACCTGGATCACTTCAGTCTTTCCTCCTTAGGATGAGTGTGATAATTCCACTCCCCAGCTGCTGAGTACAGAGGGCAGGAACAGGAACTGGAGAGGTTGCACTTTATCTATGAACACAAAAGCCCTGTGGTCAGTGCAAACAGCTGTCAAATCACTGGAGTTTGTCTTAGATAACAATTTTATCTTTCCCTTTTCCTGGCAAGAGCATGGTATGTGTGAGAGAGGCTTTTTATTTATATTGCCTCTTGGAGTCAAAAAGGAAGAAGGTTGGGAGAAAAACCAGCGTGGAGCTACTCAAGCCTGTCTGCAACTCCAGTTTCAACCACACCAGTGTGATTCCAGAAATATGATCAGCCAATTAACAAGCCCAGTTTCACTGCTGTTGCTTGCATAGTTAAGAATTACAACCCTACTCGGCTGCATGACTGTTCATCCTGGTCAGAGCTGGTTTTCAGACTGAGTACAGAATCACAACACCAACCACAACTACTGGAAGGTCCCCTCCCTACCCCTGCATGTAATCCACACATGTAAATAATATTTCAGTCAGCTGCAGCACACCTAAGCAAGAAAGCTGACCTGGACCTACAAGATGCTGCCCACAGAAAGGCAAAATACCACTACAATTACTTCTGACATTTACGATAACACTGTGTTTAATTCTCTCCTGGGCACCTGCTCTATAACCACCCTTGTTAGGCTGATTAAAAGGGTTCAGAAACAATGTTTGTTGTTAACTTTTAGTCATATGATACATCATTAAAAAAAACCCTCAAAGCTACAAAAGAAACTAGATTTTTCCAGTTATTAGTACAGTTAAGTTTGGTCAGAAGGTGTCTGTCCATACACATTTCCTATGCTTAAACATAGAGGGAGAGAGGAGTAATCCAATCCAAGAATAATCTGCAGAGTTTACCATCACTACAGCACTTAACCTCCTATGGTCTTAATTCGATGGACAGGCATGAACATAGTGATAAATTCCAACTTTACTCACTCCCTTTATCAGTGTATCCAGCACCAGCAAGAATAAAAAAACAACCAACAAAAGCCTGTAGCAGGAATGTGTTATCAAAACTAACTTGAGCTGTTTTACAGCAGTTGTAAGAATAAAGTCACTAGAGGATATTTGATATTCTTTTTGGACTAAGCTAGACCTAAAGAATAAGACAGAAGAACAGGAAGATAAAAGGAAAGATAACAGATACACTTCAAAATACATTTTGCTCTGATTGTTGTCTTATGAACCAGACAAAATTAAGTTTGTCCTCATATCACAAAGTATTCATTTGACACTGTCAATTAGCAAGGAAAGGGAAAAACATGCATTGGACTTCAATGGACTTCATTGATAAGTCCAGGGAGGAGGAAGAACTTGTTGAATTTGTGTTTTCTGTTCATTTCAACAGGAACCAGCAAGTTCCTACTCCTGCTGTGTAGGGACCTCTCTCTTTTCATTACACTGTTGTTTCAGCATTGCTAATCTCCAAGCAGGATATGTTACAGTGCTGGCACATGCCAACAGTAAGGCAGCCTAAAATAATTCTGATAACATTAAACCAACAAGAGTAAAATTACACTACATTAGAAAACGTGTACACCGGAAACTCCACAAAGTTGTTTCTGCCAAAATTAATACACAGGTTGCACAGTCACACCTGCAGAATGACAAAGCCAAGGATGGGAGGAACTGAGACCACCTCAGTGATTCTCTAAACACACCTAAAGGCTATACTGCCCTCAGTAGTTATGTCTCGGTTATTAAACCACTAACAAAACCTTCCTCAAACCTTTTCAAATGTTTCTCCATGTATTTCGAACAAGCAAATATTTAAGTCAGTTCCTGAAGTTGATGTCTACTGGGCAGGTTTTCTGTTTTGAATTTACTGATTTTCAAGCAGATTTTACTTGACACAGAGATCCCACTTTAAAAATTAACAATAGTAGAAATGTTCAGATAAAAGAAGTAACAAAATCTTGCTGAGTAAGCATGTGAATAATAAGGAATTCTAAAGGAAATAACACAGCATTTTCATTATCAAGCAGTAACACTTAAGATGCAGAACACATAAGCTGTGGTTTTGTGCACAAAAGTAATACTTTACAAGATCTTTCACTATGAGAATGCAAAGGAAAGTTCACAACCCATAAACATAAGAGAGAAGAGGCCTACTTTGGTTAAGGGCAAAAAAACAGTGCTGAAAAATGTGATCTGACTTCATAACATCAATCTACCAGAAACAACTTTGCCTTTTAACCCTGAGCTCAAAAACTGCCATGTAGTTATTGGGGGAAAAAAAACAAAAATATATATTTGAGGGAAAAAAGGACTTTACATTGCAAAGGTAAAGCATTTTCATGAGAAAATTGCATTTAGGTCTGTCAAAAAATGTTTTACAAAATGAGTTCCCACACAGGTAGAAAATTTCTGGATATACTTAAATTTCTGAAAGATTCTAAATAAATTCTCATTTATTCAGAAACATTTACGTAAACTTATGCTTAGAAAACAATTAACACCTTGTTTTCTTTGCAGTCAACATATGAATAAACATATAAACCAGAGCAAGTAATACACTGGAACCACAAAAAGGGAAGAGATGGACATTATTAATGAACCACAGAAAAGCCACAAATATGAAAAGGAAAAAATTATGTCATCTTCTGCAGTCTATATAAAGAAGACCAAACAGGTGACAATCAAAAGCAGTTTGCTGTAGTATTAATGTGCCTATTGATCTAAGATACAACCAGGTTCAATGCTGTATTAAGGAATTTTAAATAAAAACAAACAAAATACAGATGGTTGTGCACAATACAACTAGCAAAACTGCCCATCTTTACATTTATCTTCCAGAAGAACGAAAAGAACTGCAGACTTCTTTTAAGGAAACCACACCCATGACTGGCATACAAAGGTAAGTAAAGGAAAAAGAGAAACTGCATAAAAGCATGTGGCTTTTATGAATATTTTTAATATATCTCGTGCTTTAACACGAGCCTTAGAAAGTAATTGCCAGCTGGCTTAAAAAGCAAAACCAAACTTCCCTTCCTGCCCACCCCCACAGCTAAACTCTGTCATACTGAAAGACATAAACTCTAATTAGGCCCTGGGTACCTCTATGAGAGATTTTGCTGAAGATAAATGGGGAAAGTAGTGGAAGCTACATTCATCTGTCAACATGGCAATAGGAAACCCCTAAAGACAATTAAAACATGCTCAGTGTTAGTGTCATGCACATGGCTTTCAACTGGAATTAAAATTGCTAGTTCAGGATAAAACTTGTGTATTTGGAATATTTTGTAACATGTACAAAAGACAAAAGTAATTTGGTGTTCTAAATACTGCAACTCACTTCACACTCCATGTTTATTCCTACATATTCCCTAAGCACTAGAAGGCCTTCTCCCCATACTGAGCTCAGATCTTTTGTTTTTTCAGATTATTCACCTAACAAAAATCAGATCAGACTTTCCTTCTTCCCATGGATATTTACAAATTACATAGAGAAAACCAAAACCAAAACCAACCCAAAACCTTTTGCTCAGGGCATATAAAACCCGCTCTCAAATTCAAAACAAACACATTAGCAACATCAATAAGACAAATCAAATCTGTCAGCTCCTGAAAACCGGCACTGTTCTCCCTCTTGTGAGTTCTGACTCACAGCCTGCAGTGAATACAGTGGATGTGCAAGCACAGCAAAGGTGTCCCTTCTGCTCTAACACTGTAGTTCACTGCTGTGGATGTAGAACAGAACAACCAGCATCCTAATTTTAAAGCTACTGGAGATCATGACTAAGTTCTTTGGCCACAAACCTCTTTTGGGCAGAGAAATCCACGCTTGCAAAACTCTAAGTACAAAAGGCTCTCATCTGTGACAGACACTCCTTAGTATTACTGCTGATAACAAATAATTACTTGCCCACTGGTCATCATGGTGCCTACAGATCTGTTTTGCTACTAATGCCTTTCAAGCCAGCTTGGGGCAGCTGGAGAGCACATCTAGTACAGTTAGAGCTCTCTTGCAACACCAACTCACAGTCTTGTTTGCAAGAAAGATTTCCATGCCAGAAGTAAAAGGGCCTACCACAAAATATCAAGTGCACACCAACAGGCTTACCTTGACCCCCTTAAAAATATCCCAACTCAAGCCATGCTAGTAAGCCAGTGCACAATTTGCACTATACTACAAATGGGCAACAGCTGAGCAATCATTTTTAACCCTGCCTTCAAAGCCAGGATCCAGCACCAACACGTGCACAGAGCCATCCTACAAAGCAGCTCACAGCCATCGGGCTCTTGGTGACGCCTCTGAGAAAAAGTCTCTTGAGCTTCAAAGGATTTGCAAAGTTTATTCTCATCTGTCTTAAAAGGAGATTCAAATTTAAAGGGAGGGGATAATATTTTTGAGGCTCTCTTACACTTCAGCCCGTGGCAGATATCACATGAGAAAACAGTTATCTCAGCTTGGCTCAAACAACCCACATTCACCACAACCCCATCTATATCCACACAGACCATCCCTGATGTAAACCTTCAGCTTGATCCTCACAATTCATAAAACATTTTTACTCTCTGCAATCAGCTGTCCTAAATTCCACATCTTTGATGGCAAATCGTTTCCTCTTCTGAACAAAACCAATATAACCTGCTCCTGTTCAGCTCCAACCTGCCAGTACCCCCATCAGTTAAGTACAATGATAAAACCATCTTTCTTTAGGTATGTCCAAAACACTCCTTCCTGAGAGGTTTTCACAAAAGCTCTCACACTCAGAACTATGCTGCCACAGCTCAGTTCAAGGCTGGGGCTCTAAAGTGATGCTAAATTTGTATGTCTAAACTGGTCTTTAAAACACACACTTTTGGTTGCACTGAAGCTACCAAGTTCTCATGCAGCAAAAGATGGTCTCCTTGGACAAAGCAGTTTACACACAGTGGGGACAGCAATCAACACTGAATACTTCTGTCCTACCAAATTTGCAGTGAGCAGGAAAGAGCCTGCCTCCAGTCTGCAGCTCCTGTATGCTCCAAACCACGGACTTTACAACCTCTTCTAAAATTTACTGCCACTCCCCACTAGTATCAGCACCACGAATATCCAGAATTAAAGCCAAGGAGTTTTTTATTTCTTTTAAACTGTTGACCACTTGCTTTGTTTCCTTTAGCCACCGGTTCCAAAATGCATGAAAAAGCACTTCCTTCTATCAGAATTCAATTTCCTCTACTTGCATTTTGTGCAGCACCTCTCTGTACAGTTTTGAACAGTGACCTCAATGTATTTTGGCTGTTTGCTATTTGACTGTGCTAACAAGACTCTGACACTATTAAAAGCATATTTACCCATTTTTTTGGTTGAACATAACACAGTAACTGTGGGATGTTGTGTTCTAAGCGTTGTCTTCTTAGAACTTATCTCACTAATGCAAGAAAAAAAAGGCCAAAATCTTTTCTAGCTGTCCTCTAAACAGAATTTAAGAGCTGATAACATGATGCAACTTCTAGAGAAATGGGAAATACTGTGTGATGGCATAACTAAGCGTGTCACATACCCCCAGGCCCTGCAGAAAGCCTCACAGCAAGCCTGCATGAGGGATGGAAAAAAGGTTACAGTGAAAATAAAGAGCTGAGATAGAGGTAATCAAGTCTGCGACCTCAAATCTTTCATAGTCTGTTATCCCATCCCCCTTGGCACCATCTTTCAAGTTAACAATATCAAGCTTCCCTCTCACCACTCAAGCAGTGACCTGCATTTCTTCTTTCTTCTTTCTCAGAGCTGCCTTTTCCAGCTCTGATGCTGCAACATGTACCAGAAGCTGTGATGGCCAGTACCCTTCCAGTGCACTGTTTAATTATTTATAGGAAAAGCAGATCACAGATGGTTCTAAAGTGATCCTGAAAATCTTAAACTACTTCAAAGAGAGGTTTGTGTGATCTGAAAGGTTTGTGTGACTTCTGCACTGCATTTCTAACGGGAAGCCTAAAAATTCTATCAATTACTTTCAAGTTTCTCACATTCTGGAGTAGAGCATTTTCTTGTGTTGAGTATTTTCTAATTTCTTTAGCAAGGGTCACACTCCCATGGGATTAGCAATATCCAGGTATTTTACATTGTTATTTTATATTTTTAAAACCAAGAAATGCACCAGACACCTTTCAATTTTGATTTTACAACCCAGATATTCCATTTTTGTTTGTCTCAGAAATTAGGCCTTTAAACTGGCGCAATGTAAATTTTAATTTGCAAGCCAAAGTCCCTTTTAAGCTTTAGAAAGCTGTTACAAAGTGTAAGGAAGGCAACATTTTCACCCTTTCAGCAACATGAGAGAACTGGAACAAGACCTATTTTGTTACAAAGTACTCGAGCTTAGTAGTTTTAAGTACCACCTACCTTTCTGTTAAAAGGAAAAAGAGTGCTGCTGAACTACTTTAGCCACGGCCTGTACATGCAAACTGTATCTTGTCCTTGAAACAAACACTCCTCTTACAACAGCTAACAAGTTCTCAAGGCTCCTCAAGTCTATTTTTAACAGGAATAAAACAACTCCCTACAGCTACAGCACAGCTAAAAAAAAAAAAAAAAAAAAAAAGCCAGTATTCCACATTCTCTTTTTCGTGGATATGTAATCAAAGCCTATAGTCCATATTCTCTTTTTCACGGGTATGTAAGCAAAGCCTATAGTCCATATTCTCTTCTTCATGGATATATAAGCAAGTCATGCATTAAAACATGTCAAGCCATGTAACGCCACGTGCATTAAACAATCAAGGCCAGGTTGGATGGGGCTCTGTGCAACCTGGCACAGGGGAAGGTGTCCCTGCCCATGGCGGGGGGGTTGGAACGGGATGACCTTTGAGGCAACCCTTCCAACCCAAACCACTCCACAAACTGCGTTCATGACGCCCACAGCCAACACCAGCAGCGCACACCGCGTGTCCCCCCCTTGTGCGCGGCCACCAGCGGCCCTGACTCCCGGCAACGCGCTTCCCTCTTCGCCAAGGCCTCGGGAAAGCCCTACGACCCCGGGAGGCTCCCGGAGGGACACACACACACACGGGGGTCTCTCCCCGCTCTTACCTGGGGCGTGGGGTACTCGGGAACAGCGGCAGCGGGGCGGGAGCGGCGCCGGCGCCCGGCGGTGACGCCACGGGGCGGGACCGGGATACGGGAAAGGGGAGGGATGTGACGAGCCACCCGAGAGGGGAAGGGAGAGCCGGAGGTTCGTAAATAGAGTGACAGCGGTCGGAGGGTCCGCGAACAGTCAGAAAATGATACACTTGGCGCGGAAATGGGTGTAAGTCAGTCCCTGAGCTACTGTATAAGCGCACGGCAGTGCTGCTGGGATAACGGGGTGGGGCGAAAGGGAAGGGAGGAGGAGGTGGATTGATGGGGAGGGAGCGGGGGCAGAGAGAGATAGAGAAAGATGAATTAAAGAGGGGGGAGAAAAAAAGGAAGAAAAGGAAAGAAAAAGAAAAGAAAGAGAAAGAAAGAAAGATGAGTTAGAGGGGGAGAGAAAAAAAGAAAGAAAATGGGAGAGAGGAAAAAAGAATCATAGAATCAGCCGGGTTGGAAGGGACCTCTGAGGTCATCAAGTCTAACCCTTGAAGAAAAAGAAGAAAAAAAAAGGAAAGGGAAAAGGATGGGAAAAGGAAAAGGAGAAGGAAAAAGGAAGAAAAAAAGAAAATAAAAGCAAAAGAAAAATAAGAAAAGAAAAGGAGAATAGTAAAGGGGAAAAAAAAAAAAAAAAGAAAAGAAAAAAAGAAAGATAAATCAGTCCTAGTCCTGGTTCCAGTGTCGATCCAGCTGATGGGATGTCCAGGGCACTGGGGGGCACTGCCCAGCTTTGGTGGGAGTTGCTTTATAAGGACAAGTTTCTTTGCCCTGAAGAGGTTTCTCGCTTTCTAGTCAAATTATTTACCATGCACAGTCCATTCTTTCAGACCTTTCTGGAAATCAGGCAGAGGGCTTTGGGGATCTTGAGGTGTCTTGATCCCCCCTACAGTCCATGCCCACTTCTTGGCCTCATTCCTGCACTCAGGCTGTACCGTGTTGTGCTTATCTCTAGGAACTACAACAAGGATGTTTGCCCCAGAACTGATGATTCAGTTGGCTCCAAAGCCATCCAGTTATCAGTGTTTAAGACATACACATTAGCCCCTTGTCTTCTGGGATTCTACAGCGGGGAGGGAGATGCTCTTTTGAGGCAGAAAACACGCTTTCCAGCAGCCATCTCTTCTGGGTGGAGGAGGTAAACAGCTGGCACAACACGTCTCCAGCTGTTCCCAAGCATTCCCAATTGCTTCCTGGAAAAAGGGAGGCACAAACTGAGTTTAGAGATGGTACCCGAATCCCAGACATCACACGGGGGCATCCCAGCGGATCAGTGCCTGTTCCTGCCTGAGGCTCCACATCTTTGCCTCACCCTCGAGTGAGGGTCGGTTTCTAATGGTTGTGTTTTCCACTGTGTTTCTCCTCAAGTCTAGAGGAGGCCACCAATATGATTAGAGGGACGGAGCACCTCTCCTATGAGGGAACTGGGATTGTTGAGCCTTGAGAAGAGAAGGCTTAGGGGTGACCTAACTGTGGCCTTCCAGTACCTGAAGGGAGCCTAAGAGAAAGATGGAGAGGGACTGTTTGCATGGACATGGAGTGAGAGAACAATGGGGAATGGATTCAAACTGATAGAGAGTGGGTTCAGATTGGATATTAGGAAGAAATTCTTGACTGTGAGGGTTGTGAGGCACAGGTTGCCCAGAGAAGCTGTGGGTGCCCCATCCCTGGAAGTGTTCAAGGCTGGCTTGGATGGGGCTCTCAGCAAGCTGGTCTGGTGGAAGGTGTCCCTGCCTATGGCTGGGGGGTTGGAATTAAATGATCTTTAAGGTCCCTTCCAACCCAAATTATTCTATGATTCTATAAGATTTCAGCAAATAAATCCAGGTTCAAAACACAGTGGAGTAATAGTGTTCCACTGCGAGAGCTGGCTGACTGGATGATGGTACCAACACATCTGTGGCTCCCAAAGATAAGATCTGCTTTTTACATATTTACATTCTGATAAATAGTGAAACAGAAGTCGGTATCTGCATCAAAAATACTGCCATTACTTGCCAAAGACCTTTTTCCACCTCCTTTCTATTCAAACAGTCTTGTTTGAAGCTTCTTGTAGCTCAAGTCTGCAGCCTGTCTCCTCCAAGGCAGATCAAGATAAGATCACTGGAATGCTTCAGGGAAGAGGGCCTGCTCTCAACTGTAGGTTATGCAGGAGTGTGTATGTGGCTGATTAAGTCGTGGCTGGTTGCCTGAAGGGAATGTGCTGAGCTGGCTTGCTCAGTATCAGGGTTTCTAGAGGAAGAGAAGAACAGGTCCAGCCTGGAGAAGGACGAGGCTGGGGAAAGTGGAAGTGTGTTTGTGAAGGGAACAGGAGTAGAAGTTTGGGGTCTTGTCTAGCTTCAGTGCACCTCCCTGCACCTTCAGTGCAATTTAAAATGCTGCAAAAGTGAGCTTCCTTTTAATAAGCTGGCTTACATCTGAGTGCTATCCTGTGTTATTCTAATTGAATCAGTATGAACTGCGAATAAGAGTCTCCCTACTCCCAGTTGGAAGCATATCTAAAGATCTTCAGATGGAGTAGTTACTTGTTTACATCTTGTCGGTCTCCTTTTCCTCCAGGAGATTTGGAGGTTTAGGTTCTCAGTTTCAACCAAAAAGGGCTGAAAAGGCAATACAAATATATATATATATATGTATTTATAACAGAGTATTTATGAAAGCAGCAAACATAGGGATTATTTAAGAACCTTTCAGCTGTATGTGGGACACACATACAGATAGCAGAATCACTGGGGTAAGGAATAACATCCCTACTCTCTGCTAATATTTTAGGGTAATAACAATACATTTAGCTGAATTTTCATAACCATTTCTTATTTTCAAAAAACACATTCTTAGTTATTTTCTCATGTTCATTTTTTCTAGTATAACTACAGAATTATGCAGTGTAGGTAAAAGGGAATTTAGGAGAGATTTTTTTTTCCCAAAAAAAGTCAGAAATGCAAGCCTGAAGGGTAGCAGAGAATTAGCAAGACCTGCACTCATAAATAAAATAATATTTTCCAGTTCCAGTGCACCAAGTGCCTACAAGGATGTTAGAACACTTAACATATGTTTAGTTCATTCTTACCTCAGTATTCACATGTCACAGGTTGGGAAATACAGGGAGGGAAGCTGATAGACTAATTGATTTACCGAATGTTAGGTAGGAATTGTTGCCAGAGTCTTATTTCCTAAACCCAATATTTTGTTTCAATTACAAGATCAAAGGAAAATGCAACACATGCTGATCAATGTTCAGATTCAGCCAACTCTGTTTGCAGAAGATTGTAACCATGTAAAGCATTAATGCAGTACAGGTTGTACTCGGTATTTCTTGATCATACAGTGTGGCTCTGTCTCCTTCTACTGGTTTACATTTGTTATAGATGTGCTACTACTGGCTCCAGACTACTACAGATTTATACTTTTGTTCAGTTAACTGGAGTTCCTACACTGGTACCACAAGTCTTGGAATTTCTTGAGACAGTTCACTCAGGGGATTATTAGGTATATAAGCATTCATTTTCTGCTTAAAATGGCTGTACTGACTGTCTGGCTTTCAAGAGCAGAGAGCGAGGAGTTAAGAATTTGCATTTATCCCAGCCAAAATCTGATTGAGATACAGCTCATATAATTCAATTGGTTTATGCTGGTGCCACTCTGAAAATATATTATTATTTTATATATGGATATCTATACAAAAATCTATCCAAGAAAAGCTATACTGCCATCTGGTACTTAATGGAAGCCATTTCATTTGAGAGGCCTCTGAATGATTATTGATTTTTCTCTATCATTCCCAAAACAACAGAAAAACAACCCTGAATATTTTCTCCAAAGTAGTCAAAGTGACAGGCATCTTTAACTTAATTACTGCTTTATTATGATGTATCTCATTCACTGTACATACTATATAATGACTCCTGAGGAGTTAATGTTCTTTGTGGAGGAGATATGGAGGCCAAATCCTGTAGTCTTGACTTCACTGGAATCATTATACAGCCTGGATCATGCAAAGCGTGATGCACAGACCAGTTGTGGCTACTCCAACTCCCAGAAATAGTGCCACTGAAAAAGCTTTGGGAGATGCTCATGTGGAAGACAAGGTAAATTTTTAAAAAATGCTGTGAATATGGTGTGAATATAAGGCAGGTTGCTAGAAGCTACTTTTAACAAAAGGGTTAATAAATCATTAGCAGGATAAAAATGCAGACTCTAAACCAGACCAAAAGCAAAAGGTGGTTGCAATAAGCATCTGTAGTCATCCTAAGGGAGAAAATAAAGCACTAGAATTGCTTTGTCTGCAAGTCCAGCTTCCTCTGACACTAATCGCTCCTTTTGGCCTTCTAATGTGGGTCTAAATGAGAGCATCAGAGACACTTCATTAAATAATTCAGCCTTTCTAAGTAGACACTTTTATCAGGTGTCCACCATAAGCCCTTTCTAGCAATTACTGGGAAGCCAGTACATCCAAACACAGAGAACATTCCCTTTTAGTCTGTCAGTCTCTGTCTTAAACCTCTAGAGATTCAGCAACCATGTTGAAAATGCTAAACCAATGCAGATTTACATGGGATTAAATCAATGAGAGTATAGCTACACTGTCTTGAGACTACACTGAGAAATTTTGTTTTACCTCTGGTCGGTCTGTAGCTTATGTTTAAAGTGTCTAAACTTGTGCAGCATCACATTTTAAACTGTTTCAAGAGTTAGTCTGCACCTGCGTCACCTGAGCTACAAACTGTTTCGTGACGGTTCTTGGCCTAGCATGTTTAAAATCAAGTTATGGCCAAAGTACAGGTAAAAGCAGAGTATGAAACAGTACCTTTTAAAATCCCAGGTCAGGGCGGGCTGACCAGTTTGAGGGCTGTTAGTGTGCGTAGCACACTTGTGTCTGAAGGGTCTCAGCCACCTTGGGCATTCTGGGACAGGCGTTTTGTGTTTGTGAGGGCCCATTTCTTTGCAGTGTCACCTGATGAATTTGCAATCCCGATGTGTGGGCAGACCAGCAAGCTGCCAGAAGAGGGTGTATTAGGAGTGAGCCGAAGCACGAGCATCCTCCATCTGCTCACCAGTACCTGCCGGCTGATGTGTACTTGCCCCCCTCGGTGGAAGATGTTTCCTGTGGTAAATCAGAAGGCAAACATTCCTAAAAGGACAGTGACAGGCAGCTGCCTGGCTCGATGCCAT